TTTGAAACAAGGATTTCTGTCTCCCGACATACAATATTGTGTGATTTTCTTAAGTAAATCTCACTATACTTACACCCGTTTTGCACAAACATAGAAAAACAGAAGACATAGATATATAAGTCTTTTAGTCGTTATTTTGATATCATTTAATATTGCGGACTGCACGTCTCCATTTGTTTTTCTTTTAAAACTGTTTAATGAAGTAAGGTTTTCCTCAGTCTCTTGCTAAGTTTCAACAATTTCACTAACGAGTCTTAAAAGGATGAAGAAGGTGTAGGATCCATGTTTAATTCATTGCTTGGGTTTACGGTATCTCATTGTAAATTTCTAGCATAAAGTGGTAGTCGCTTGGGTGTCTTTTGTACAATTTTCTATTTCACAATAAAAAGTTATATACTTAAAAAAGTATCAGCTTTTGAAAATGTTGAATACTTGAAAAAATATCAATTTTTGTAAAAGTTATATAATTGGAAAAATAACATTTAAAAAAATTTGCAAAAAAAAAATGTTATACACTTGAAAAAATATTTTTTTTGAAAATGTTATATACGTGACACAACATCATTGTTTTTTATATAAAAAATATCATAAAAAACTTATTCAAAATATCATTTTTTGTAATTGTTATATACTTGAAAAAATATTTTTTTAGAAAAAAGTTATACGCTTGACAAAACGTCATTATTTTACAAAAAGTTATGTACCTGACAAAATATCAATTTTTGGATAAAGTTTTAAAATGATATTTTGATGATACAATGTCCCGATTCCTCAGTGTAAGTGATAATACGGTGTTGTGACGTCACTGGTGTCACTACAAAGGATCAAAGCTTACAGCAACCTGGCATTGTTTTAGACTTGTTGTAGGGATTGATAAATATCATGGCAGTTGCCAACAAATCACATGTGCGTATTTAAACCTATGACGTCACCGGTGGAAACAGAATATATAACAATATAGATTAATTCATTATTAATCATTTTGGATAATCATTATCACTGTTTTAAATAAAGATTACAATTGTGCTAATTTTAGGAGAGTATTCTCTTGGTCAAGCTGGACACAGAAAACAGTAATGGACATCTGGAATTAATGCCTATTTATATGTAAAATTTTAGCGTTCGTCTAGTTTATTTTTAGAAGACGGTGACAACCTATATGTCGAGCGTTCGATAAGCTATATACATTTTATGAGAAGGTCTAGCGCTCGAGAAATTAAGTCAAAAGTCGAGAAAACTGATAGAGAAAAACATTAGGATTCATGTCTTATGTACGTCACCGTACTATTCAAATATATTTATTGACTTTTCGGTCTTTCGGCAGACGAATTAAGTCACAATACGCCAGATTTTATTAATTTTAGATGGAGTTTCAATGTAAATTTATATTCATGTTTCTGGTGTTAAATTCAGTTTTGGGATTTTAAATATTTACAATAAACATAAAATATGAAAACCGCTGAGGTTCAGGACTTAATTAAGTATTATTTATTTACAACATTATCTGTAATTTATATATAATGCACATAAATTCATAATACACCAATTGCCGGGCTTCAAAATATCATTGACATGTTGTCCCCATAATGAGTTAGCATTGCGTATAAGTAATTTGCTAAGAGAAGTCTTAAGCTTGGTCCATTTTCAAACGGTAAACTTCTTAAAGCTTTTGCGATATCCACAGGGTTACTTGCTCTGACAAGGAAGATATACCGTGTGTATATTTAAACAATGAGAAAACAGCAGGATTTGTATTCGCTATCCCTCAATGTCATCATTTTGAAATTTATACAGCGACCCCATCATCATAAGATATTTCCTAACAGGGTCAAATTAGAATAATTTATCAAACATTAAACAGTTCTTCAAACATTTCTTTTATAAATCTAAGGAATTCCAATAGCAAAGTTAAAATGAAATCATAAAAATTATCAAACTCCTGGTTGACAATATTAAGGTCAAGTTGTGTGGTAAGACATTTCTTTGATACAAACTGTTGCCTTCTCTTTGCTGAGTTGTGTTTTGTTTCATACAAGGCTGAATTTTAAGAAATTAACAAAACAGGTCAGAATCGCTTTACAAAATCCATCAGTTTCGCTCTAATACATATTGATGACGGCTCGTCTTTAAGTAACAAGAAATTAATTTACCAAGTCTATCGTATATACCAACCAGAATTGGAAATCAAGGACACAACATACATACTACAACAAGTTTCCCTAATGTGAGATTTTAATTTCTTAATGGCAATAACCTTGAATCCCCAATCTATGTTGTTTACATGTCGCAGTTGATTTGATAAACAAGAGTCTTTCACCTCGGCGTCCGGGGTTCGATTACCGGAACGAACGCGAAAAGGTTAGGGGTCACCTGCTCGACCACGTAGGTTTTCCCGGGGTACTCTGTTGTTCTCCCACAATAAGACCTCTCGCGCGCTTCCATCCGAGCCAACAAGTTGGAAAAACTTGCTTCGCAATTGTTGTAAAATAAATAAAGCACACCCATATATATATATATATATATATATATATATCTAAAATTACAACATGGGGTTTTGAGAGTTGCAGGTTGATGAAAATTATGGGGAAATCTTAGTATCGTTGAAGTGATCTCATCGATAAATATATGTCCTTGAGCGGCATTAAGCGGGCGTGTATATGCTAACAAGTTTTTCCGTTGATTCTGTCGATGTATACCTTGTTCTTACCTTGTTTGATTCACGTGGCGGGTGTCATTGATGAAGCAGAAGACGCTTACTCCTCCGGAACAGCTGGTCTTATTCACTCTGTACTTTATCTCAGCAGTCTTCTTTATAAATCTTTCTGTTATTTGTATTTTGCCCTAGTTTTCATATGTTTTTGAAATATAATTCTGTTAACATTTCTTTGTTACATTTATATTTTGAGTTTACGTACGCAATATTGATTTCCGTACTATGAATTAATTACGTTCAAATTTTTAAAAAGTAACATAGCGGTTTGGGTAAAGATTTCATTTTAAATCATTTTTAAAATTAGTAATTCGTAATGGCACTCATGCACGTGCTAGGAGATATCCTCAGAGTGTTGAGAATCGTTCCATTAAAATAGAATTAAAACATAGCCACTCCCCTTCGTATCCATCATTTATTTTGGTTATTATCAAGTACTGTGATCTTATTGAATAGGATATCTTATTAAAGTTTCTGAAATATTCTATGCAAATCGAGACACGACAGAGAGGTACCTTCCGATGTCAATCAAATGCCCCTTTTCGATTATCGGAGGTATCTCCCCCGGCGGAAAAAAAATCACATGTTGAAAATATTTACAAGTAACTCCTTTTGGAGAAAGCATATGCATTATTAATACTTAAATACTATTTTATTTTTGTTTTCTTGAAAATATACCATTTGATATAAAAGAGAGTATGTGTATAAACAAAAATTGATATAACGTATTCCTTATATCGCTGATAATAGACACATAAATGATTATGGATCAATATAAGAAACCAATCAACTGAAAGAACCGGCTTTATATCATAATATCAGAACAGCCAAATTTAATTCAACAGTTCTATTGATATACCCCAGAACAGTAACACTGATGTCTATGTAAAATCAATTGGTATTTTTACGAATTCCCTGATCTTCATGATTCCATTGGCTAGAAATCAATGGCATTTGCCAATACTTACCTTTGTCATAAAAGATAAAACAAAAAAGAAAAAACACAAAAACACAAAAAGAAAACATAAATAAAACACCACAGTATGTCGACATCGCCAAAATGGTAAAATACGATTTAAACAAACGAAAGATTTACACGGATCCTCCTGAAAAAGTACAAGGAGATTACGAACAGCTTTTCCGGGAAGGTAAAACACCTTTACTTCAACGACGACAACTGTCATGGAAATCTTGGTCAATCCAAGTAAGTAATGTCATGTTCTTAAAAGAGAACATGGTACACAACGATACCATCGTTAATTACATGTCCTTTGAAATGTGGCGGTGTACAGGACAAAAGTTACATAACACCATACTTTATCCAGATCATTTTAATCACTGTGTCATTTTATTTCCATGGGGATTTTTTTCCGTCTATGGTTAAATTCTTCGCGGATTTATTAAAATTCAAAAATAATTTTATTTTTCTAGAATATCACGAAACGGACTATAGATCTCTGTATAGTGTTAATATTTTTCTCGAATTTATTCATACCAAAGAACAGCGAAAATAAGAATACCTTGAAAGTAACAAGTTTGAAAACATAATTCTTAAACAGCATTTCCACGTGAAGAGACTTATTTTCAAAGTCACGTGCAATGTTATAGTATTCCATAGTTTTCACCCAGATTTACAAAAATTCGTCTTTTCTAAAGCAAGACAGCTATTTCCGTAAGATAACAAGTGAAACAGTAAATTGTCCATATCGCTTTGACGCTTGATGGTGGATGTAAACATACCGGGGCATGAGGAAGCAGACAAATTTGACAGCCCAATGACAAATTACCCTGGCAGCCACGCCCCCTTTCATCGCTGAATCTCCATCACCGAGTTACCAGAGCATGTTCGACCCGTCAGTTTCATTACAGACAATTATCAAAGGGGCTTTACGAAAATGTAATGTCAAATGTACAAGCGGTGGAGATGTTGTCAGGAAATAGTTACTGTAACAAGCTGTAATTTTGCATTGTTCCGGAGTGACTGTTGGACACATTGTAAATATACAGTCGCAATTGTGCCGTAGATTACCCCGTCCGTTACTGTTGTTGAGTGGGAGGGTTGATGAGGGGGAATCGTTTCCAGGTTCAGCTTCTGACACAGAAGACTAACCTGTTGTACTCAAGCATAAGAGGTGGACAGATGGAATTGTGATTTAGGGGGTCTTCACACAAGACTCTTTATGAGGGACGCTCACTGATTTGAGAAGTTTTCCTCAATTTCTTTTCCATATTCGAAAATCGTAAATTTCATAATATTGTGTCGAGAAAGAACACAACAGAAGTTTTATAAATGAGAAAGGCTATGAAAGTACCCAGTCAGTATTGTAGTAGCAATAAGCAAAAAAGTGAAAACGAAGACAACCTTCATTACTCAGACGGCAGTGACAGTATCGGTTCAACAGAGGAGTGTATTACAACCGGAAAAGGGAACAAGAAGACTACTAATAAAAAGTGTCGGGTCGTAACTCCGGAGGACGGGGAGGTGGATCTAAATCAACCTGATTTTTTATTCGAATCCCAACCGAGACAAAGGCTGGCGGCCAATGCACGGGAACGGGATCGAACCCATAGCGTCAACACGGCTTTCGTGACGCTTCGGACTTTGATCCCGACAGAACCAGCTGACCGGAAGTTGTCTAAAATCGAAACTTTGCGATTAGCGACGAGTTATATCGCTCACCTGAACACTGTATTGATGGTGGGGTCGGAGTGTATTGACCAGCCCTGTGTAAAACACCAGGCGATGTTACGAGGCGGACTGGACAATGTACCGAAACCTGTGTGTACCTTTTGTCTTAGCGCGTCCAGGACCCGAACGGTAAGTTTTCTAAACAGGACACTGATATGTGAATGATTATTTGATATAAAACTGATTAAATTCCGGGAAACACTTTAGAATTGAGAAACCAGTTAAGTTGTTTTAATTAGAAATCTACCGGTGTTATACAATCTGACGCATTCTTTCAGAAGTTGATAAGAAAAAGGAAAATAAATTAATTGCGCAAACGAAGAATACGTTTTCAGCGTAGTAAGAAATACCTTGTTTATTACAATTATTCTTCCTACACTATTTTATACTCTACATCACACGCATTTAATCAATTTTCTATTAAAACATTCGCAGTATTCAATTTCGTAAATTTTCGAAAAAAAAAAATATATATATATATAAAGCATTGTGTTTTCAAATGGAGGGTAGTAATCAATTCATATTTCAAACAATCATTAATTACAGTGTATATACCAAATACTCACTAATTTGATGAAGACAATATTTTCTGAAGGTTTACAAAATTTACACACATATCTTAAACATTTTTTTTTAAATTTTTAGCAATCTTAATATATCAAGTTTTGTGATTTGTGTGTGTATTGAGATGCGGATTGCCACAATGATATGTTCTGCTTAAATCACAGTGTACGTATAACAACCTAAAGGAATCAGAATATTACATAAGCCGGAATGACAATCTTTAACTTCTTGGCGCTATTCTTTCCTTTCCAATGAAATATGTTTTATTGTCTTTCAAAGATAAACATTTAAAGAACTTAAATATATTTTTACTGAATGTAGACATCTCGTTTCATATATAATGTCTTTTATATCCTTAACATAAAACTTGAATTTAAAAATGTTAATGATACCATAGGGCAAATAACAGCTCCATCCCCTAACCTGTGATAATTTCAAATCATTTTATGTGAAGACACTGGATTTTGCTCGAAAGTACAACAATAGTCAGGTAGTGTCTCGATCTATCGGTTATGAATCTTTAGGAATGTTTATTATAATTCCATACACCAGATTAGTAAATGATTTTAGATAGTTATATAAATATATGTTATTGTCTCTACGCAATTCCACGTTTCTCGTGTTAGGTATTGATAGGAGATCCTGACGTAAAAGAATCGACACAAATTTGTTTTAATCTTTATTATAAACTTTTATTTTATTTCTTTTTACATAGCATTAGTAGTTACATCAAACACGTAATTCAAATTGGAAATGAAAACAAGTTTTACAACTTATATAAATCCATTTCCAGTTAGAGAATTAAGGACATATACTTCCATAATAACAGACGATTTATCTTTCATACAAGAATCAAGAAAAAAAAATCAATGGTGCCCCGATTGATAATCATATTAAACATTTGCATTTGTTTTATCTTCCAAACGCTTCAAAGCTATGCGTTGTCTTCCGTGTACATCAGATAACATTTTTTTTATTATATCATAATCAACGTTAAATTGTGAATTACTGTAACACAGATATCGGTTTGTCTTTGACAAATACCAAATCATTTTTCATAACGTTATTAAATCTATTTATACGTTTAAAAGCACTTGCTCTAAATCTCACATAGAATTGTTTTATTTTCACAACGGGATGCTGTTTTGAACGTGTGACTAGCACTTGTGAAGTATTCTGTTCCATCTGATGATCATACGGGAGATTCATTTCATGAGAATATTTGTAGATAATTACTTCGGCCGTAAACCAGCCAAGCGTCTAAAATCCATTTTCTCTAAATGTCAGTGTCTGCAGCTGCAACTTTCAAGTCCGTTCACTGTCCCTCGGGATTTTTTATTGACCCACATCGTAAACATCCGAGATGTCCCACAGGAATTCGTTTAATTTCTCACTTGCTAATTATACTGGTCTGATGAGGGGTCAGTAGAAAAGCAGGGGATAAATTTGCTGGATATTTGTTTAAATAGCATTGGACGGGGGTCATTAAATGGTGTAAGGTAAGAAAGTGGATAATTAAATTGTATTATTGATCTGATATCGGTATTTATATATAGATATTAATGATGATATAGACCTTCACAGCTGAACCATATCTAGGTCATATCTGTTAAGGAATAATATAACAAAAATACAGCTATTTACTTAATATGAAAATCTTTCAGTGATAAATTAACCCAGCAGAGTCAATCGGTAGCAACAATTCAATAATGGCGATATACGGGAGATTTACAACTACTTTTCAATCAAATTTGTCTTATATCTGTGAAAAAACTACTAAGACAAAAATAAATAAAAATTATGAAAATGAGAGAGAGAGAGAGAGACAGACAGACAGACAGAGAGAGAGAGAGACAGACAGACAGGCAGACAGACAGATAGAGAAACTTACACCTCCAGTGGAAGATATAACGTTCTATATTGGTGTTAGTGTTGAAACAGGATTGTCACAGCTGTTGACGATATAGATTGTGACAACACACACTATCAATTTCCGTTTAAAATGTTACTCGGCTTACAAATTCACATACTAGATGTTTCCCCTGACTACAACAAAAACATAGAAATGTCATGTTAATAATATCATTTGGCTTGTTTACAAATCATCAGTTTCCTTGTTATTTGATGTTGTATTGAAGGCAGTTTTTTTCAAAATTTACACCATTTTTAACCGTCAGCTGAAGGGCCGAAAGATCGCAATAGTTAACGTCAATTCCACCAGGTAAATACCAATATATAAATAAATAAATAAATAAAGAAATAAATAAATAAATAGATAAACTTAGTCGTAAGATTACAATATCTGATGTAGAGCGTATTTCATTTAATGATCAATTTTAAAAAAATGAGGAATTAATCTTCATAGTATGTTATTACTTGTACAAGAAAATAGCCAAACAAATCTATGTTTAAATACAATACCGAACAAATATGAATAATCAATGTTTAAATACTATATTCAACAACGATGAAAATATCGATAAAGTACTGTAGTCCACAGAGGTGAATAATGTATGTTTGAAATACTATATTCAATAAAAGATGAATAGTTGATGTCTGAAGTAATATCTTAAATCACACATGTATATATATAAGTGTGATTATCCAGCTCGCCAGCCACATTGTGTACATAAGTGACAAATTTCTAGAAATTGTTACATTACTATGCAAAAACCCAAATCATCAGACTTATTTGATTGTAAAATATGAATCACCTAAGTAAGTCTGCCTGTGATAAATGTTTAAGTCATGGACAGGGAATCTCTTGTTAAATATTTATCCAAGACGACGATAGTTTTCTGTTAAACGGGAACGCTAATTATATCAAAACAACACACTTTGTTCGGTGTACAGTACATGTCGTTTACACAACTGTACATATATGTATATTATAACATCCTATTCTGTGTTAATTACCATTTATAACAGTAATTACAAAAGTGAAAATTTGTCCGATTATTTTTTTTAATTTCAGTAGAATATTGAAGGATTATGTTAAAAGGAAACATTTATAAGACAGCTTATACACCTGTATATATATATATATATATATATATATATATATATATAAAAACTTGGATCAACTAAATGTTTACCTATGAAAAATCGCTTCTGCAATGTAGTTTCACTATTTTAAGTGGTTTCGAAATAATTTGGTAATCATGTACAAATGTAACATTTTGTTCAACTGGCTCTTTGTCTTTAAATCCATCTCGGGAGTCTGTTGTTTATTTACCAAACATTGATTACACGGCAACAAATGCAGTTCCTACACTCTGCTCAATCACTGCACCATGTGTGTACTAAATTATATGAATAAACAGCCTTTGTTATATTAGTGCTGTCCAACATAGATCCGGGGTTTTTTCTCCAAAATAATTCCAATATTGATAAAGAATTAATTATTTTGCATGGTCTCGCGGGCTTTTTTGTTCAAGACAATATTCGTATAAAATAGCTATAAATACACAGAATACACTGTAGTATTTAAAAAAAATGTACGACGTCACGTGTCTCAACAATAACCTTTCGCCACAGTTAATAATCACAACTTTGTTGCTGGGTCATCTAGTCAGAAAGAAAAAAAAACTCTAAGGTCATTTTCACTGACCATCAAGGGGTCATGACCCTAAATACATCAATGGTCATTAAGAGAAACTGGACATCAACTGTGGTGTTTATTTAGTTCCGGACGAGGGCTAAAGTTGATGAATATGACGGCTGAACCTAAATGGCCTCATCATTTCGTTGGGTATTCGGTACCATCTCCATGGCTACAGAAAGTAAACACAATGCACGTCAAAAACGTGGACGTTTATTTTTGGCGGAACGAAGTTTTGTTCAATTGTTCCTGATTGTCGGGTCGCGAAGATTATTCTTTATCTGGGTGAAATTGAAAGAGATTTTATGCCAGGATGATGTTATAGATTCGACTGACCGACACTTTCCCTGTAATGTTTTCTGTTATTACCTCTCACATGTAATTTCAGCTTCAGAATGTCTTTCTGCTTGAATTTAGGAATATTGAAACTTTTAAAACTGTTTTTAATTTAGAAAGAAATAAAGATATTTTTTGCATGAGTTAAAAAAAGGTTTTCAATATCCCTTTGTTCCATAACAGGAACTTATGTTTTCAGTGACCTATATTGACCAGTAACGTTTCCATTTTCACGTTACGTCAGATACCGCAAGTGTTTTACCAAAATCTCTAGCTACACTGTACATAAGGTAAAAAGAACAAAGAAAAAAACAAAAAACAACATGTCAACATAATAATAATCCAAACTCAAATTCAATAAAACTAGGGGCAAAATATCAACTAAAGAAAGATTTACACTCCGTAGACCCCTTAAAAAAGTACAGGTAGAATAAGACCAGATGATCCGAAAGAGTAGGCGTCTGCTAGCATAAACTGTTTTACTTTGGCCAAAGTATAGACATGGTCACTTGAATTTTTGAAGAAAAAAAAAGGGAGGGGGGGGGGGGGGGGGGGATTTGTGAACTCTTCTTAGTTGGCATATTTATCAGCATGTATAAGTTTCCGGGATCACTGGTTCTGTGATTTA